GTCCCGCCCCGGGCTCACGCGTCCCCCACCCCCCACCCGCCCCACTCCCAGGTGATCATCGAGCGCTACAAGGGTGAGAAGCAGCTGCCTGTCCTAGACAAGACCAAGTTCCTGGTCCCGGACCATGTCAACATGAGCGAGTTGGTCAAGATCATCCGGTACGCGGGCAGCAGCTGGATCGGGCAGGGGGCTGGACCCCCGCTGAGAATGGGCGGGAGCAGGGACGTGGGACCAGGTGTTGGGTTCCTGTTCTGAGGAGGTTGGGAAAAGCCAAGGTCAGGGCTAGGGTTGGTGTCGAGTCGCAAGCTACAGCTTCTAGAAGGGGCTGGGATGAGTGTGAAGAGGGGGCTCGCTCCGGTTTATTATGGGGAGGGGGTCAGGACTACACCCGCCGGCAGCCAGACCCCTCACGGCCGCCATGCTCTCCCGCCCGCCTCAGGCGCCGCCTGCAGCTGAACCCCACGCAGGCCTTCTTCCTGCTGGTGAACCAACACAGCATGGTGAGCGTGTCCACGCCCATCGCGGACATCTATGAGCAGGAGAAGGATGAGGACGGCTTCCTCTACATGGTCTACGCCTCCCAGGAAACCTTCGGCTTCTGAACCAGCAGTAGGGGGGGTTGGCCTGGGAGTGGGGGCCCTGTCAGGCTCTGCCTAGGGAGCTCCAGGCTCCTGAACTGAGCTGCCTCTGCCCCTGTGGGCTGGGCAGGGATATGGCCCCCTAGCCAGGGGGCCCAGCCAACCAACTCCACCCTTGGGTGGATCCTGGGCCAGTCACGTTAGGATTGCCCCTCTGGGTGCTGGCTGGGATGGGGGAGCGTGGGGAGCAGCCCCCAGCACCCCTGCTTTGTGTGGTTTGTCTTTTTTTTTTTTAGGCCCCTGCCTGTCTGCCCATCTGTCCCTCACCCACCTGAGGCTTTGCCCCCGGTCTGGACCTGCCCACCCCTGAAAGATGGCTCCTGGCTCACCCACATGATCTTCACATGGTGTATGGATCTCTGGTCATTGTCCCTCTGCAGAATAAAGATTGCTCAGGCCTGCCTGGCCCTTTGCCTCCAGCTACTTGCTTGGGAGCAGGGAGGGCTGCTGGTGGGGCCGTCCTGCCCTGTTCTTGGCCTGGCAGCGCACAGGCTTGTATTCTGTGGATTTAGGGCTCATTTGGGAAACCCACACCTGTGTGTAGTGTACCACGACAGTATTACGGGCCAAGCCCACCCCCTCTAGAAGTGCGATGTAGATGTAGTCCCAGGGTAGACTTCTTCATAACAAAAAAACATTTATTAAGTAGACACGATCTAACAAGCTCTGCTCACCTTTTCCCCATTCCTCCCTGGGAGGGGGCTCCTTGGTGTTCAGAGCCACAATGTGGGGGTCTGAGTGGGGGTGCTCCCAGCTCCTCCCCACAGGATTCTCTGCCAGCCATCAGTCCACTTTGGTGCCAGTGATTCATGACCTGGGACGTGAACCTCTTCTGCCCACGGATTGGCCTGCTGGCAACTCTGGCTGGAGAACTTGGCCAGGCTTCTGGCCCTTCTGCCCCCTGAGGTCCATGCAGCCCTATGCCCATCCAGGGCTACTTGAGCACAAGCATGGCCTCTGTGCCGTCCTTGGCCGTCAAATAAAGACCGTGTGTGAGGTAGTACTCCCGCCGCAGGAAGGCATAGAAGTAGTCAGAGATGAGCAGGATCTGGGGGGGAGAGAGGATGTGAGAAGCTGTGGGGTACCTGCTCCTGAACCCAGGATCCCTGAGGGGCTAGACAGGTGTTGGGTGACAGGAAAGCCCCTGGCTGGCATCTCTACAAGGTCCCAGCCTATCCCTGGGGCCCATACTTGAACCTGCCAGGTCTTGCTGCACCCTCCTCCTCCCATGGTCTACACCTCCATCCCAAGCTCTGGCATCTGAACTCCAGATGCGTGTGCCTCCCCCTCGTGCCCATAGGCACCTGTACCCTAGTTGGGCCCATGTCAAACTTGTTACCTGCCCTCTGTCAAACTCTCTTCTACTGGGCACCCATGTCCTCATCTTCTATCCAGGCACCCGGGCCACAGAATCACCTGACACTCCTCCCATACACCAAGCCACCAAGTCCATTCAACTCTACCTCCTAAACTCTCATATCGCCATTTCTATCTATCCCCACAGCCACCACCCTGGACAAAGCCACTGTCACCTCCTAAATAACAGCAAAGCCACGTGCCTGGGCTCTGCCCTCAAACCTACCTTTCGTTCTCCCTGGTAGCCAGAGGAAATTTTTCAAAACACATATCTGATCATGTTACTTTCCAGTTTAAAATCCTCCAAAGGCTTCCCACACTCTAGGCTGAAGCTCAAACTCCCTGGGGCTCTGAGGCTTTGCACCCCATCTCTGGCCGGGTACACACACTGCCCTCTCCTCACTCCGCCCCACTCTGCTGCAGGAGCTTTGCTGTTTCCTCTGCCCTTCCAGTCTGAGGAAGGATCACTTGCCTCCCAGAGTAAGTCTTGGTCCCATTACTCTACTTGCTAGCACAAACTTCTCCACACTGCAATTCTACATTCAGTGGTGTGACTGCCTGGTGACTGGGAGCTCCATCCAGGCAGGGTCCTTGAGTGGCTCTGACACTATGGGATCTCTGTGCCCAGCCGAGTCTATTTTTCCCACTCTGGGCCACAGAGTCAAAAGGGGCCTAGAAGCTCAGCCCACCATCCCCCTTGTGAAGGCCCAGAGAGGAACAGGGACTTGCCAAGGTCCCTGCACACTACACCTGCAGTTTTACAATCCCGCTTAGCCCAAGCTGCCCAAGATAGGTGGGGCAGGGTCCAGCCCCAGGGAAGGATGAGGGGGCAGGGGCTCACCTCTGCAGCCACCACAGGTCTCAGGCACTTAGTGGCCTCTCAGTATTAGCACCAACCACCTCTTGGCACAGATGGGGAGACTGAGGCCCAGAGCAAGGCAGGCACTTGACTAGGGTCTTGGGGCAAGTCAGAGGTTGAGCTGAGCCTGGGATCTGGGCCTCCAGTCCCAGAACCCAGCCCAGGGCAGCTTCTCACTCGCCTGAAGGCAATGTGAGAGCAGCCGAGGAGAGCTCTGTCCCACCCCCTGGGCAGCCCTGCAGCTCCTACTTACCTCTCACGAGGCATCACATCCTACCAGGAGTCTTCCCTAATCCCACGCTCAGTATGTGACCCTGAAGTGAAATCATTTCCCACTGGCCTCCCAAACAAATGGGGTGGCATCTGCTCCAGCTCCGTGGCCCCAGCCCGACACAGGTCCCCACCCTGTGAGCACTGCCCTCCAGGGATGGCTCCATGGGACACATTCCTCTCACGGCAGCCATGAGGGCTGCAGGGCTGCCTCCACTCTGGGCTATGAAGAAGAGTTATTGGGGCAACTGATAAAAGAGTGGCCAGGGACAGAGAAGGCCAAATCAGAAGTGGAATAAAACCGTCAGAACATGCTCCATCCCAGGGTGGGACGGCAGAGAGACAGGGAAGCAAACATTTTCTGACCCCTTTACCAAAAAAACACATGGAGTCCACCCTTGGGTAAGGCTTATCATCCCCATTTGGAGATGCGCCAATTCAGAGATTAAGGGTCTTGATGCGTCACTAGTACATGAAGGGTCAGGTTGCAGCACTAGTCCTACCTGTGGCAAAGCCCTGGCTCCATGAGCACTCAGGGTCTGAACCCACACATCCTGAGTCCCCCACCTACCAGGCCCACTGATTCCTGCCTCATACCTTACCACCCTGTGGGGGCTGCTCTCCCTGGTTCACAGTTTAGTCACTCAGCCAAGAAGACAGATGATTTTTTTGGAAAGGGCAAAATAAGTACAGGAGACTTCCAAGCCAGTGGAGGTTATCAGTTCAGCGTACCACCCTGTGGGGGCTGCTCTCCCTGGTTCACAGTTTAGTCACTCAGCCAAGAAGACAGACAGATGATTTTTTTGGAAAGGGCAAAATAAGTACAGGAGACTTCCAAGCCAGTGGAGGTTATCAGTTCAGCGTGTCTTGAAGCTACAGGCTCGGGAGAGCAGCCCCAGCCAACATGGCCTCTGGGCTGCAGCTTCCTGGAGAAGCAGGTGCTGTCACCCAGGTGTGTCCTAGTTCTCCAGGCCCCCTGCTCCTGGTGGAGACACTAACACTCAACAGCCAGCCTGCACTGGGGGAGCTCGTGTGGTGGTCACAGCCGGGAAAGTGCAGCATCCTCTGCCCACCTGCCTGGGGTCAAGGAAAACAGGAGGAGAGGAGGCCAGTGGCCCACTGTGGAGCACAACCTGCCATTTCACAGGCCTGAAGGGCCACCCCATGGGAGGAGCCAGTGAAGGAGAGAGTGCTGCCTTCTATCTCTAAAGATGCAAAATAACAGTGACTCAGTCTCTGGACATCAGTGTCGGAGGTGCCAGGTCACAGGAAAGACTGAGGATTGGGGCTACAATAACAAATGTCGTCCACGTGGCACTTTTCAAAAGCTTTCCTGTCCAACTCCATACTGAGTCCTCACAATCACCCTTCCAAGTTGAGGAAACTGGGGCTCCCACCACCTCTCACAGATTTCAACAGCCACATCCCTCGCCTCTTCCCTTCCTGGCACAGTGAAGCTTTCAGAGCCTGAATCTGATCACATTTGTCCTCAGTTTAAAACCAAAGGCTCAGCCTGGACCTCAGCATTATGAGGTCCACGAGGGCCCTGTGGCTCTGACCACTGCTGTCCTGAAATGGCCTCATTCTCTGTCAAGTGCTACAGCAGGTCCTATAGCACTCCCCACCCACAGCACACTATGTTCCTCTCCCCATCTCCCTGAAGAAGGGAATCCTGAGCAGGGCCCAACATGCTCCAGGTCTCCCTGGAGACAGAAAGCAGAAGGGCCAAGGCAGGGCCAGCCTTGAATCTGCAGGGTCTGTGGCACAGGGAGGAGGTCGGGGCAGCCTCCTCATGGCAAAGAGGTAGCAACTTCAGGAATGGTGTTCTGGGTGTTCCAGACCCCACTTGGGAGGGCCGAGAGAGGGCTCTCAGGGCTAGCCACTGGGAGGAGAGCAGAAGAGGGCTCTGGTTCCAACTCCCTACAAATCCAGTAGGACCCGCCACAGGCTCAGCTCTGACCAAAACAGAGTCCGGAACTGGAAGGTTAGGTTGTACAGAGCTGTGTTAGATCACTGATCTTAAAATGTGGTTTCTTTTTGTGGTTTTTTTGGTGGCTGGCCGGTATGGGGATCTGAACCCTTGACCTTGATGTTACAAGGCTGCACTCTAACCAACTGAGCTAACTGGCCAGCCCCTAAATGTGGTTTCCAATCCCAGCTCATTTCATTCATTCATCAATAATTAGTTACTGAATATTCTTCTTGGTGCTGGGGATACGGCCATGAACAAGACAGACATGGGGCCTGCCCTACTGGACCCCACAGTCTACTAAGAGGATGTGACAAACAGGACCATGAATAAGCACACCCTTTCCTCGCTTTGCAACTTTGGGTGAGTCTTGAACCCTTTCAAGCTTCAGCTTCCTCATTCACATCATGAGATGCTAATAGTGCTTCCCTCAAAGGGCTCTTATGAAGATTAAATAAATTCTTTATAATTAAAAAAAAGGAAAACGACTTAAAGGGCTGTTATTAGGGGAGTAGTTACATAAAGTGTGGTGAGTGCACATAAACAGAACTTAAACAGAAAGGAGTTTCCTCTCTCATATATGAACAAGAAAAGGTCACCAAGACGCTTTATTAAAAGGAAAAAAAGTCGTACTTCCAACATGATGCCAATAATAAAACACACATATACACACAAATAAAACTCTTTCTCCATGAGCATATGAATATAAGTAAACGCACAGGGAAAGGTCCAGAAGGCCACACGAGCACGTGACTCAAGAAGATTAAAGGGATTATATGGGGCCAGCTTCTAGTAAGTTCTTAAACATGAGCCACTACTAATTATAATTTTAGGAAAAGATTTCTTTATGTTCCTTGTTTTTAAATCGAATTAAGGTGACTGGAACATTTTACCTTACTCTTTTAAAAAAGCTAAATTTGAATAAGTTCCTTTTCATTTATACGTAATCCTTATCAATATTTTTCTTCTGTTGGTCACTGATCCACAGAAGGGTTAAAAATTTTGAAAAAGAGGAAGGGGGATTAGTTCTTCTTCCCTTGGTTTACGGGACTATTTCTCTGGGAATTTGCTTTGGGTATCTGAAGGGCACAATGCTCTTGCCGTTTCCCATGTCAGCACGTGAGTGATGGCAATAAGACCCAGACGTCACACCCCAGCCTCTCACCCACTGACGTGGGGACTCTCCCGGTTTCTGAGATGGGGAAACTGCGGCCTAGAGAGGTTAAATCACTCACTGCAGGTCACACTGTGAGGACAGGGGGAAGACCTCGAGCACCCGCTCTGTCTCAATCTCTCCTTCTCTCTCACACTCACGCACGCGCACACGTGCCACGCTCCCTCCTCCCCCATGGATGGTTTACTGCTGTCATTTCCTGTTACTAACCCTGAGGCACAACCATAATTAGCAAATGATCAGTGCCACATGTTGAAAAATACTTAATGGTCTTCAGGGGAAAGAATGGGACCTTAGTCACTGGTTTACCTGCCAGTGTAACTATCTACACGTAGTTTGTTCTATAATAGGGTATGGCACTGATTGACTCAAACAGAGAAGGATTTCAAGAAAAAAACAAAAAAACAAAAAAAAACCCTGCAGGCCAAGTTGTCTTCTAAATTAAACTCCTGATTTCAGCAATGATAGACCAGGTTCTGGACACCTGCTTAAAATCCATACTCATCTGGTTCCCAGGACAGCTCTGATCTGTCTTGCCAGGGAAGGGAGGATGAGGGCCAGGTGAATACAAGGCCCCTTCCCAGCTAGAAGGGCTCAGAAGAACAGGCTGTGCAGCTGAGGGCATGTCCTTGAATGCCATATCCCTCAGTGCAAGTGTTGACTGCAGGTCACACAAAAGCAGGGGCTGGGTTTGGGCCATGCCAGACATGCAGCCACAGAGACCAGGTTCCCGCAGAGGCTGGAGGAGGGTTGGAGACAGAGCTGCTACCACCGACTGCAGCCAGTGGGGGTGATTTGGCCTCATGTCCCTTCCCTCTCTTACTTTCCAAGTCCAAAAGGCCCTGCTGGCTTTCCCTGATAACTCACAACAGGAGGGGAAATCCTGTTCCCTCTAGATTCTCCAACAGTTACTCTGCATATCTGGGGCCACGACGTTCTCTTGGCTATCTTTGGTTCATTCAACAAATATTTGCTAAGACTGATCTGGGCACTGGAGACCCTACGATGGGAGGACAGGCAGATCCCTGCCTTCATGAAGCTCATGGGCTAGTGATGGAGGCAGAGGGGGAGCAAGTAAGTATATAAAGTTACAAACTGAGTAAATGCAATGAAGGAAACAAATGGGGGCTGAGAAGGAGACGGCAGGGCAGGGAGACCTCATGAAAAGCCTCTCTAAGGAGGTGACACTGAACTCTTAGTAAAATTCTAAATATTGCATATTTGCACTCTTGGTTCCCAACAGGCCCGAGGGCAGGAGTAGTACAACCTTCGTGATGAGGGGTCAATGACATGACTCGAGTGACTACTCTGGTGAGCAAGTGTCCCCATCGGACATATCCCTTCAATGATGTGGCAGCAGCAGCAACAAAGCCCAGCAGCCCCCAGGAGCATTTGACCCAAAAGAGCTGTCCATGGCTCAGAGCCACAGAGCCCAGACCCAAGGAGGCTGATGACATAGGTGTGCTGGATGCCTGAACAGTCTGCCGGCTTGAGGACAGCATCTGGACCCCTTCTGGGAGGCCTGTAGGTTGGTACGGGCTGCCTCAAGGGCAACTTGGAAGTATCTGCCAAAGATATAAAAGGCATATGCCCTATGACCCAGCAAATCCCACCAGTTGAAAGCTGTTTAGGATACTGGCACATGTGCACAAGCATATGGGGAGAGGTATGCCAGGCTCTTCCATTTAAAGCAGCAAAATAACCAGAAGCAACCTCGATGCCCAGTAGTAGGGGTGTACCTAGTCCAGTAAATCACGGTGCATCCTAACCATGAGATATCATAGAGCCACTAAAAACATAATCTCAAGATAAATTTTTAATTTTTTAAGATAAGATCATTAAGTGAAAAATACCAAGTCAGAGAACAGTACTTTGATAAGGAAGCTATTTACTTACATAAACAAAAAAGCTCTTTAAGCGTGCATTGTACTTACAGCTATCTGTAAATGCACAGAGAAAGTCTGCAAAGACACATGCCACGCTGATCCCAATGACCACATCTACCCTGGGGTGGGAAGAGACAGGGGCTCAGGCAGATCTTTACCTTTCATTCCATACTCTATTTTGTTTGATTTCTTTCCCCCAACGATAATGAGTTCATGTATTACTCGTGCAATTAAAAATGCATTTAGAAATGAGGTTCAGGAAAACAGGTAAGAGACAATGCCAAGAGTTCAGCTGTTTTTTTCTGTAGCTCAGCTATTGCCACATTCAATCCACTTTGGTTCCCACCCAACTCCAATCCCTCTTTTTCCAGAATTCCATTTCTCCTACTTTCCAGAGCACCTGACTCTTTGCCAATATCCCCCATGCCATTTATAGAGACCCTTCTCACACAGAGGCAGCCCCAGAAGAGAGAGCTGTTATCTGGAAAGGCCCACGGATGCTTCATAACCACTGCAACTCTACTTCCCGACCAATACCTGAGGCTCAACATAAGACAACAGGCTATGGACTATTTCAGTGGAGCTCACCAACATCCCCAGAGGTTCAGGATAGGCCCAACGCCCTCATATGCCAGCCACCACTGGGACGTAAGAATAAGTAAGGGGTTCCAGCAAGACAGAAGAGTCAGGACAACTTTTGGGTTCCTGCAGACCTGCCTGCATAGGGCACAGGTAGGAGGTGCTGCGTATTCACCATCAGTAACTGCCACCCAGGCCACAGGACTCTCCATCTCTCTCCCTGCTGTTCACAAACCAAGATAAATGGCTGGGCTGGACATTAATCCTCCAGAAATGTCCATGCAGGAAATGCCCGTCCCAACACTCATTGAAAAAGTCCCTTCTTTGTTCCCAGTGGCCAACTTTGGAGGCAAGAATTGCCCTGGGGATCATTCACTGGCATCATTAGTCTTTCCAGATCACCCCGCTTCCCATCCACCTATTAGGCACAGGAAATGCCAAGCTGTGCCAATGGCAATTGCTATGGTAAACGGTACAAGTGATTCTCATAAGACCTCGATGATGCAGACAGAGCGTGACCTGAAAGAAGGCAGCAGAACAGATAAGGGAACTTCAGAGAAGGGTGGATGACTTCATGGGTGGCCTGCTAGACACCTGCCAAAGAACCTCTGTGAGAGCTGATCAAAAATACAAATTCTGAGCCCCAGAGTCCACACCGAATCAACATCTCTGGGAGTGGGACCGGGGACTGCTTTTTTTTAAACTATCAGATTCTGCAGTTGTGATGGTTACAACATATTAAAAGATTTAAATCACATTACACTGTAAGAGGGATTCTGCATTTGAGAACCCTGCTGTGTGGAACATAGGGACAGGTGTTCCCAGGTCAGCGGAAGGGCTGAGCTCTTTGCTGGAACTCATCAGCCTGTGACCCCACAGCCTCCTCCGACTCCCAGCCACACAATTTATGCTCACTCAACTTGCCCAACAGGCAGGTCACACCACTTCTTATCTGCCACCTCTGTGCCCACTGTCCTCCACTTGCCCATTCCCTCCCCACCCGTTGGCACACTCACTGTGGGGGTCGCACACCCCAGGAACCATCACAGAAAGAGGTGCCTCAGAAACCAACCCTTACCTGAATTTGGTTCTTGGCTCCTCCAACAACCTTGGGCAAGAGACAACCTCTGTATCAGTCCCTCTTTTGCCAAACAAGGACAGCAATACCTGTCTCACAGGCTTGCTGTGAGAATCTGACGAGCTCAGACGGTGCCCAGCACATGGGTGCCAGATTCGGCTGCAGGCTGCCCTTACTCGCCTGTCCTCCCTGCTGACTGTGAGTTACGTGAGAGGAGGAACTGTCCCTCCTTAACGTCTAATCCCTACTGTGCGAAACCTAGGGCCTTGATGCTTTCTTACCTGCCCAACGTTGAAGGTCAGTGTGATGGCATAAAAAAAATTAGAGTTGGCACTTCCCGCATAAATCCAGAGGTGCCACAGCACAGGGAAGAGCAGGGAGCAGACGATAATGATGCAGGCAAGGACAAAGATGTTCCGCAGGACTGCAAAGACAGATGGAAACAGTCAGCCCAATGCTCTCTCTAGGCACCCTCTCCTTGCTGTGATGGCCCCACAGGCCAGAGGCGCAGGCAGAGCCTCGTGTAGCTCCAAGGCAGAACACCCCCAGAGGCAATGGGGTTCCAGGAAGCCAAGCTCAGACTCCTGAGGTGATGGCTCCCCAAACCCACAGCTGGTGGGAGCACCTAGATTTGGATTCTCTCCTCCCACCGTGGGCTTGGCTGGCAATGCCATGGATGCCTGTGGGCACTTCAAAAAGAGCGTTTCTGGAAGACAATGACCCCACCATCCAGTCCCACTCCCCAAGCAGGGTGCTATCTGGCCACATTGGATCGGTCAATGGATGTGAACTGCAGCATGAACCAGAGATTAGAGCTGCCCAGTGGGTCTCTAAGGTGCCACAGTCCCCAGTCTTAGGAACACATTTTCCATTCTCCTTAATTGGTGTCTTAGTCCCCTGCCTTGCTCTTCAAATGTCCCTCATTCTTCCTCACATGATGATTTAAAAATCTCTTTTTGACACCCTCGCTCTCTGACGTCACTCTCTATCCCCAGAGGGAATACTGAATCCCACCAGAGGAAAAGCTCTCACCAAGGCCCCAGGATGACTTGCTCACAGGGTGGCTTGCAGGTGAGCAGTTCAGCTGGATGGGAAGGCAGCATGATGGCCGGGCACAGACTTGGCCTCAGAGAGACCTGGGTAATATCCTGCTCTGACATTTGTCAGCATGTTTCTCTAAGCTTCAGCTTCCTCACTTCCAAATTGGGGCTACGATGCCTATGTCATAGAAGCGTTATGTGGGTTAAACAGATTGTGGAAAAACTGGTACAGATGTATTACTATCAGTGTTCTACTGCTGCTATAACAAATTCTTACACACTCAGTGGTTTAAATAACTTAATTTATTATTGTTCAGTTCTAAAGGTCCGAAGTCCAAAATGGGTTTGACAGGCTGAAAGCACGGTATTGGCTGAGGTATCTGCGTTCCCTCTGGAGGCCCTGGTGGAGAATCCATTCCTTGCCTTTTTCAGCTTCCAGAGACTTCCTGTATTCCTGGGCTCATGACCCACTGCAGCTTTGGAACCCGCAATGGCAGACTGAGGCCTTCTCACACTGCATCACTCAGACCTCCTCTTCTGCCTCCCTCTTCCACTTGATGTTTTTTGCGGTGGGGGGATGGCTGGCCGGTATGGGGATCAAACACCGATATTTTTTTTAAATAGACTTAATTTTTTAGAGCAGTTTTAGGTTCATGGCAAAATGAGAAGAAGGTACAGAGTTTTCCCATCTTTCCCCTGCCTCCATCTCTTTCAGTTTCAGGACTCTTGTGATAATCCAGGATTATCTTCTCAAGGTCCTTAAAGTCCCCTTTTGCCATGTAAGGTGACATATTCACAGATTCTGGGGATTATGACGTGGACACCCTTGGAAGGGGCCGAGGACAGGCATTATTCTGCCTACCACACTGTGTTCTTTTTTTTCCTTTTAAGTCAATAGGGGTTATCTGACAGCAGTAACATATCTGATATATGTTATTTTTATATCTTTCTTTATACTTTATTGTACTTTTTAAAAACTAAAAAATATTATTTAAAATAAATTAATTAAAAGAATGTTTTTAAAAAGAACTTGACAATGGCCCAGTTCCCAGCAGGCGCTTAATGGATAAAAGTTCCCTTTATCTCTCTGATCCTGATCTTCAGGAACTCCCTTCTCCCAAGTCAGAGTTGTGGGAGATTTAAGGGATGGGATAACTCCCAAACATTTAGGCCACTTGTCTCAGTTGTACAACTTGGCAGAAATGCTATACCGGGGGCTCCTGCATTGGAAAGGGGGCTGTATGACACACGATTCTCAACTCTAGTTGCTAAATGAAATCACACGGGAGCCCCCAACCCTCAAGACTAAGAGTCTCTAGGGTGCGACCCAGGCATTATATGAGGTCTTAAAAACCTCCCAGGTGACTCCAGTATGCAGCCAAGGCTGAGAACCACCGGATTACAGCTTGAAACCCTTACAGTCTGTGACAGAGATGTGGCTGAACTGTGTCAAAATGAGGATAATCAGGACAAGGTAGTGCACAGCTCTTTCTTAAAAATGAATGATTTGAGGGCCGGCCTGTGGCTCACTTGGGAGAGTGTGGTGCTGATAACACCAAGGCCACGGGTTCGGATCCCATAAAGGGATGGCCGGTTTGCTCACTGGCTGAGCGTGGTGCTGACAACACCAAGTCAAGGGTTAAGATCCCCTTACCGGTCATCTAAAAAAAAAAAAAAAAAAAAAATGAATGATTTGAATCTGCAGTACATTCTTTACTGAGAAATGGTAGGTGCCTTTTTGTTGTTTTTGTTACAAAGTCTTTCTTTTATGAAGTGGGGATGAATGGCTGCTGGTTAATTGTTTTGATGTCTTCAGCAAAATAAAAATTTGGCAATTCCATCGCCAGTTTTCTGAAATGTTAGTGAAATCTCACAGTTTGGACACTGGCCTAGAGGGCTTGCAAGATCCTCTTTTCTGATCTGAAATTTCCACAATTCTGGGTTTTCAAAGCTGAGAGGTCAAAGCCCTGATTCAAGCCTCCTGAGACCTTCCCAGGGAAGCTCCTGCCTCTCGCTTTACTCCCAGGAATAAGGAATCCAAGAAAAGGGATATTTCCACTGAGAATTATTTTTATTATTATTAAACAATGTTACATACAACCTCAAGAAAGAACAAATCTGTTTACCATTCTTCCACTCCCACATCACTATTTACATTTCTCAGTGGTTCTTTCTGATCTCCTGAAAATTATTTTGCTGAAAAGGATATACACTATTCCTAAAATAAAATTCTTGTGGTGTGACAGCTCAAGTGGTTCTTTGTTCTGTGCCTCCAGCCAGAAACGGGATTTCAGACAGGGTGACAGGAAGGAGACCAAGTGCAAAGACGAGAGAGGCTCAAATGAAGCTTCTGGGAACTATCATGGAGGCTGCAAAGATGCATCCCTATGTGCTTGGAGGAACTGTCACCAGCATCCAGCTGGCTTCTAGCCTGTAGTGACCTTTGCAGGAATGGGAAGCTGCTACTCTTGCTGGCTGAAAAGCCAGAGGATTAAAACTATGTGCCAGAGCAGATAGAGCTGGGGACCGGGGGCACAGGACAGCTTGTTCTAGGCACCAGGAGGTATCAGAGACGTCAGAGATGAGCAGCCCTAACAAGATGAAAGGGTTCACCCTTCATCAGACTTCCCAGGTCAGATGGAATGAGGTTCCCTGCTACATTCACCGGGTGGCTTATCCAATCTCTAGTGCCACTACTGACAAACTGGAACTTTAGGCAAGTCACTTTCCCTCTTTGAGCCTCAGGCACTCAGAAATTAAATTTCACTTGAAAAATCCAGTCCCATGGGTGGGGGGGCACAGAGGGGATTTGGGGGCTTCGAGGGTCATGGTGATGTTTCCTTTCTTAAACTAAGTGCTAGGTACATGGGAATTTATTGTATTATTCTTTATGATTTATATGTATTTTTAAAATCTCTATGCAAAACAAAATACACAAAAATCCAGCCCTTTGATGACTGTCTCTTTCAGCTGGACCAGTGCAGGCTGGCACCGGCTCTGCCAGCAGGCTGTTCCCTAACACTGCAGTTATGTGTCTCTGTGACTCATCCTAGCCTCAAGGTTCAGAGTCCAGCATCTGGGGTCTCCATTCAGGGCAGGGCCGCATCCTCTTTTCCTCCCCACTGACCAGTACAGGAAAAGAGAAAGGTGAATGTGGGAGCAGGCATGTCAGCATTGACAACTAATGTTTAAACTGAATTCCTAGCCACATTCAACATAGGCTTAAAGACTTCTCAAGGTCTCTACTTACAGGTCCCAAGGACCAGGGTCAAAGACGCTCCTGGCTGAGTACAATGACTCACAGTTGTCAAGCCCCAGATACTCCCAGCATGTGCACTCCCTGTCAACAGAGCGGGCAGCAAAGGGGGACAGCCACTGTTCTCTGCAGGAGCTTCAGACAAGCTGAACCTGTAAACTGTTTGCCCAACCAGGCAGCAACAGCATCCATTACATCATCCAGGTTTCTAGAAACCCCAGTCTTCTTCGTGCCTCATTGCCCCAGAGGGCATAAAATAGCTTGTTTCAAGTTTTGAAAAATATGTTAATTCTGGTGACTCCAGCTACCAAGCCTGAAGCTTTGATCACAGAACTATGCAGGAGACCCCCACGCATAATTATCACTGATGATTATAATAACTGCAGCGCTATTTATGTATGTTATCTCTCAAACTTAAAACATCCATGAAAGGTATTCTCTCATGTGACAGATGAAAAATTAGAGGCTCAGAAAGGTTAAATAATTTACCTAAAAACACATAACTAGCAGTGGGAAAGCCAGGATTCAGACTCAAGTCAGTCTGTCTCCAGACTGTGTTCAGCATATGGATGAAAGACATTAACGGGGGATGGGGGGGGTCTTATGGGGGACAGACAGCTAAAAAAACCCATTCTACTTTTGGGGAAAGAAGATCAACATCCCAGGACCTACACTGGGGCTATCCACATGTTTTGGTGGCCTCATGATTCATCACTGGCCATTCTGCTGAGTGTCCCCACAGTGACTCTGAGCCCATGGGTGATTCTTGTCTGTGCAATGAGCAGGCAGAAGACGCCACCACTTCCTCCTCCCAGTTGGGCTCCACCAGGTTGTTACCTGCAGGAGCAGCTCTGGCTTGGCCCACCCACTCAGCTGTTTTCCTTCACTCCTTGGCCCACTGGGACAGGCAGGTTTCTTGCTGACAGCTGGTCAGTTTCACTTCCTGGTTGACACCCAGACAACCCCAAAACAACAACAAAGACTCACGTCCTCCGAAGCCTGTGCTCTCTGAGTTCACTCTTGACACCTCGCTGTGCACCCACAGAAGGCAAGGCAAGGCAAGTTCAACAGCTCCCTTCCCTACTTTATTTTAGAGAGTTAGGTGCTGCTGGGCCACTGACACTGCCTCCTTATCAGGGAGGCTTAGAAAACATGCTCCACAATCATTTGCCGTTCTTCTGTGTGTCAGGTTCGATCTTGGATGCTGGAGACATGGAGGCAAATGAGTTGTGATGTCTTCCCTAAGGGAGACCCCAAACACCGAAAAACCCACCACAGAGGACTAAGAGCCAGACTGAGGGACACACTGGGGCCTAGGGAGCACAGATAGTCACCGCTAAGCCATCTGCTGAGGAGGGGATGCTAAGCTTAAAGGGGTCTTCACAGCAGGCAGGACACCTAGTGTTTCCCCTCTGTCCTCTGGGAACCTGCAGCACTGGGGAGTGGTTGAAAGCCAAAGATCAATAGTTGTGACATCCAATACGATAGCCTAGCCACATGTGGCTTCTTATATTTAAATTTAAATTAATTTAAATTAAATATCAGTTTCTCAGACAAGTGGCTACTCCATTGGACTGCGCATATACAGGGCATTTCCATAGGCACAGAAAGCCCTGTCAGACAGCACTGCGTAGGGGCTCACGGATCTTGATTTCAAGCCCAGCCCTTCCATTGACCAGTCACGTGACCTTGAACGAGTGGCTCCACCTTTCTATGCCTCAGTTTTCTCATCTGCAAAATGGGGATACTTACCTGAAAGACTGATGTGAAGATAAAATGAGCTAATGAATGCATGTAACACTCTTAGAGCCACAGTGGCAAGGAATATAGTAAGTTCTCAATAAATGGCAGTTATTTTCACCATCACCACTGGTCCACAGCACCTGGGGGGCAGATACTGTGTCCCAGCCACTGCTTCTCCCAGTACTGCCAGCACCACAGACACCCAGTGAAAGCCCATCAATTCCTTATTCCCTGGCTGTTCTGGCCAGGGGCCAGGCTGACACAAACCTGCCTCCAGTAGGTAGAGATGGGACTACTCACATCTGTAGAGATGGTTCCACACGGGGAAGAAGGCCATATAGAGGGCCACGTCCCCCACCGTTGGGTAGGACTTAAAGATGGAGATGATGGCAATCTGGATGAACATGAAGAAGATGGGGTGCTCCCTAGGGCAGGACAAGAGAGACAGATAAAGATCCGTCAGGGGCCAGGCACACGCCAGAGGCTCCTCACCCCATCCCTCCAACCAAAAATACTCCCCAGATGACTTCAGACAGGGGCTGGCTCTGCTACCCACAAGGCCTGGGCCAGGCCCCAGTGACAGAGCAGAAAACTGCAGGGATCCAGAAATGCCCAGAGGTGGTGAGAAGGGCCCAGTCAACACCAGAGAAACAGCCTACAGAGGCATTTCCCATCAACAGCCCCCGCTGCCTCTCCCAGCTCCCAGCCTTCCCCCAGGAGCCTCAGAGGAAGAAAACAAATGAAGTCAGCGCTCTTTATTACTGGGCTAAATGACTGCTTGTCCGAGTAATTAGGCAGCCTCCCTTGCCTCAGGCCCCTCCGACTGGCCTCAGGGCAGGAAGTGCCTTCTTGCTGAGGCTTTTTTCTCTGACAATATGGTCAGAGGGGCTGCAGGCCCTTAGGGTCCAGAAAGAGAACTGAGAGCTGCATGTAGCTTTTCAGCTCTGAAAGGCTGGAATTGGAGTTCTTTTTACCTTACACTCCTATCAGTTTAAACTGAGGATGGGTGATGGCAATGGCTACCATCTCCTGGACCCTCACTCCATGCTAAGTTCTATATGAGGCCCTCTTTTGCATATCTCATGTGATCCTCACAACCTCTCAACAGAGGCCATCCTGTCACCCGTACTTTACACATGAGAAATCTGAGGTTCAGAAAAGCTAAGTGAGTTGATGAAGTAAGTTGGTAAGCAAAGGAGTTGCTTGTCTCTAAAGCTCCGAACCACCACCAACACTGTTCTCCTGAGGGCTTGACACGCTTCACAGCTCTGGTCAGGGGAGGGTGGGCAACAGATTTCCATCTGCTGTGATCCTCTGAGAGCTGACCGAGTGCTACAGGGAAACAACCAAGCACGGGCTGGACCCGCACCCTCCTCAGCCTACGCCTCAACGACACACGCATGGCCTCCTCCTGCAGATGACCCGGATGCCCAGGTCAGGAAGGCTTTCTTCAGAGGTCAATGACATTCTTGTCTTGCAGGTCAAAGGTCAGGATGACTCAACAGGTATAAATCTGAGATGTGGAGACAAACATGTACACACCCTGAGCACTCCAGTGCTTCTACACAGCAAATGCCTCAGAAACTCAGCTTGATGAAGTCCCACAGCCCTGTAGCCTTGAAGAATCGTCCAGCTAATTCAGGAAGCTCAGTGTGAACTTCTTCCTAAACATAATCCAAATCATTGGCTTTGGGCTTTGTAGGGACCTGGTAACAGGTGCAACACTTCTATGAAAAGGCCACTGAAAATGTGGTGACCAGAAATATTGAGACCAGAATCTCCTGCCACACTGCATGGGGAAAGAGGTGGCCTGAAGGGCCCTGTTCCCAGAGAGCCAGAAGTGGAAGCAAACAGTGCAGGGGTGGAAGAGTTCAGGTAGAGCTTCATGTCCAGGCAGAGGAGGACAGCAATAGGGGACATCAGGTATCACCATATTGTCCTCATAACATGAGGTCCTGGCCTACGGGATCACATGACGGTGGTGTTGTTTCCTACTCTGGAGCTTTGTGTGGCTTTGGCATGCAGACAATAAAAGCTGCTGGGCAGCTGGCTGCACAGATAGGAAAGGTACTCTGGGCTCCCAGTACTCTGGGCCTGACCAGCACAAGGGCAGAGAAGGTGGACTTCACACAGCTGGAGAACATTCTGAAGCCTGCCAGGTCATGGGAAGATGGTTTTCTGTCAGATGCCAGGCCAAGGCTGTGTCATGGGAAGGAAGCATCAGCTCTGAGGTTAGTTAGGCAGAATGGGGACCAAGTGCATTTGCCATGGAGAATGTCAGGAAGGATAGAGCAGAGGACTCAAGCTCACGAAACTGAAGTCAAATTCTCCTCCAGGTTCTCTGGGCCATCTGGCATATCTGTACCTGTCTGTGCCTGTTTTCTCTTGTCTGAAGCTGGGATAATAGAACCATTTCCGGGAGCTACTACAAGCCATCTCTCTCACGAGACTGACATGGTGTAGGGGATGAGCACAGATTCTGTAGTCAGACAAACCTGGGCTCTTGTCTGAAGCTGGGATAATAGAACCATTTCCGGGAGCTACTACAAGCCATCTCTCTCATGAGACTGACATGGTGTAGGGGATGAGCACAGATTCTGTAGTCAGACAAACCTGGATCTGAATCCCAGCTCCACTGCTAACTAGCTGTGTGACTTTGGGAAAATTGTTCCACCTCTCTGAGCATCATTTCTTCAACTACAAAATGGGAGTGACAATAATAATATAGTGCCTACCTCCATGAGTTGCTGGGTTAGCAATGATTACATTTCAGAGAGCCTAGAAAGGTGCTGGGAGGGAGCAGGCTCAACACACATTAGCCTGCTTATACTGCAGAAAAGAACTCTACAGACAAGCCCTCTTGAGGGAGATTGATCAGAAGATTAAACAGAGCTGCAGGTGGTCAGCCTCCTAAGTAACCCATCCTGAGTCCCCTTGGACGAACTATCACTGGGCTGCGGATGGAGAACATCCAACCAGTTCCACTGTTGCCAAAGACAACCCTCCCCACCACACACCACAAGCCCTGCTCTTGTCCAAAATAGTGAGTGGACTCAGTGGTAACATGGCTCAACCACCTCAATGTGAGGCATGAGAAATACCAGGGCACCAAAGCATCCTGCCCGCAGCCTGTACTCAGGTGTGACTCTCTATTGCTGACTATGGCCATTGGCACCTGAGGCGACTCAGGGCAAGGTTCTCTGGGCAAAGATGCCATAAATTTGATGGCAGGTTCTCCCCTTTTGAAGGGCACCTGCATGGCTTCAAGGGGCATGGGGTCCTCAGATGGCACTGTGGACAAAGCAGCAGTAGGTCCCACCACTTACTTTAGCTTTATGGCTAAGGGGATGGTGTAGAAGAAGACGTTGATCTGAAACACGCAAACAAAGAAGAGGCTGAAGTGCTCAAACATCTCTGCAAAGAAGTACCAGAAAAGACCAATGTTTGGAGTGAGATCTGGAACAGAAAGTCTGGAATTAAGAAAACAAAAGGAGAGAAAAAAAAGAACAAAGTTATAAATGGTCTGCTTTGATCTTGTTTTCTCCTGAAGACTTTGGTCCCTACAGAGATCAGGATGTGAAGGGCTCTCCAGGTGCCCAGGATATAGGTAATTAACAAAAGCAAGGGGCAGAGACACAGAGAATGATAACCCATAATAAAAATCAGCTAAGCCAAATAAATCTGAAATGAGGCAGGGATTCATTCTAGAAATCAGGAGACCAGCCTCTTTTATTGCCCAAGACAGTTTAAAATCAGGAGACACCCATTTCTGTAACTGTAGGGAAAATATAGGAAAATGGTCAGGGCCCCTCAGCTGTTCAGAATCTTGCCAAGCATTTGCTATTACAAAAAAAAAACCCCATGTGTGCCCAGGTGGTCCTTGGTTACTATCTAATGTAATCGTGTATGGGCACCCAGGTGTCCTGGGTTATGGACCTAAGTATAAAGGACTAATGGCTCTGCTACAGAGTGCTTCTCGGGACGTTCCGGGAGGCTGCTAGAGTGGCTGCTCTTAGCTCCGAATAAAGTCTATTAATTTTTTTTTTACCCATGGCTCCCAGGATCTTTTCCTATTACCTAGCTTGTGGACCTGCGTGTGAAGGGTTTGTGACCCAGTTTGTACATCAGGCTTGAGGGGTCTGTGAGCACTAGCCCTAACTTGACAGTCACAAAAGAATAGATTTTTAATGATATCTCTTTTGGACATTCCAATAGACCTGCCTAGAGGAACAAGCTCAATGATCCTGTTCCTCCCCATTCTTGCTCCACACTGCACAGCAGGAGCCAGAAGACTGAGTGCCTGAGACTACAGGGAGATTTCTACGGGCCTCGAGAATTGGCAGGTTCTGGCTAAGATCCCCAGGATCCCATACCTCATTTGAGAAATGACGGTTGAACTGGGAAACTTTTTGTCTGGTTAAATCAAAGACTAGCTGAAATTCTGGCTCTTCTAAAGGTTTACATTATATTTTTTATTTAAATACAGAATTGAGTCTGATGTCAATTTCCAATTTAAAAAGGGCAATGAATGGGGCATGGAAAAGGAGAGACAAGCAGCGGCTCATGGTCAGGTTTCCCTGACAGAGGCCTTCACCCAGGGTAAGTCCTGGCTTCTTGCTGTAACTACATTTCCTTTTCTGTGAAATGAGGTAAACAACTCAATCTGTGGCCCAGGAGAAAGCCAGAAAAGTTGTTCACCAGGCACCACAAACTCCTATCCAAGGCAGAGCATGAAGAGCAGAAAGTTACTAAGTCGTTGTTATGCTCAGCTAGGACTTAACACAAATAAGCAGAACAGACTCGCTGCTCCAGATCCCTTCTCTACCCTGACAGGTTTAAGTGTCTGTCACCCACTGTGCCATGAGCTCAAGACCCTCAGCACCCACACAGAGCCTGGCACATACACAGCATTTGGAAATGTTTGCAGAACTCATGAATATACACAGAGGCAAACTGCAGTACTGCAAATGCATTTGAATTTTCTCTACAGGTTTGACATGTGGCAGGGGACTTAAATTTCAGACTGTCAGGGACACTCTTGCAGTAGAGGAATATAACCATTCCTGTCTGGAATTGAACCCAAACCTTCTAGTCAGAAGCTGGTAACTGCTTTGGATATTCCTAGAGACTGCTTTTTAATCTCACTAGATCAAAGGTATGCTCTAGAGCAGTGGTTCTCAAAGTGTGTTCCCTGGACCAGCAGCATCAGCATCACCTGAAACCTTGAGAAATGCAATTCTTGGTCCCTATCTCAGACCTACTTAATCAGAACCTATGGAAGTGGGCCCAGCTATCTGGGTTTTAACAAGCCATGCAGGTGATTCTGATGCACCTTAAAGTTTGAGGACCACTGCTGTAGATGCTTCCTGGGGTTACTTACCCTCTGGTTCCAGCTGGAGCTATAAAACCAAATTAGCTTCCAGAGATTTTTTTAAAACTGACAATTTAGAATTGTCATGGGATACAAAGTGATGATATGATTTATGAATACAATGCAGAATAATTAAATCAAACTAGTTAACATATCCACTACTTCAAATACTTAACATTTTTTGTGGTGAGAACATTTGAAATTTACTCTCAGCAATTTTGAAATGTACATACTCTATTATTAACTATATTCACCACACTGTGCAATAGAACTAAAAAAAAAAATTCCTTCTGTCAAACAGATTTTGTACCCTCTGACCCTCATCTCTTCATTTCCTCAGCCTCTGTGACCACCACTCTACTCTCGGCCTCTATGAGCTCAATTGTCTTAGATTCCACTCATAAATGAGAACATGTGATATTTGTCTTTCTGCGCCTGACCTATTTCACTTAGCATAATGTACTCCAATTCTACACATGCTGTCTCAAAGGACAGAATTTCCTTCTTTGTTAAGACTGAATAGTATTCCGTTGTGTATATATACTACATTTTCTTTATTCATCTGCTGATGGACACTCAGGTTGATTTCATAACTTGGCTATCGTGAATAGTGTTGCAATGAGCATGGAAGTGCAGACATCTCTTCAACAAACTGATTTCAGGAGTGGGATGCTGGATCATATAGTAATTCTATTTTTACTTCCTCGAGGAATACCCATACAGTTTTCCATAATGGCTGCATTAATTTACATTCCCACCAATAGTGTACAAGAGTTCCCTTTCCTCCACAGCTTCCAGAGTTTTCTAAAGAGGTCATTACTTACATGAAGCCGTAGACTGCAGGAATGAAATCCCAAGAGCTGAGAAGGAAGAAGGAGAGGCAAACGATTACCACTAGGCTTCCCACATACATCATGGTGTACTCCCAAGAGAAGATCCAGAAGGCTTTGCTCTTCACTTTCACAGGTATGTACTGCCGCTAGGACAGAAGAAAAATGGTACCTTTAGGGATATCAAGGACAGTGAGCAGTTATCAGCTTAAACTAAAAGATCCCTCTTGCAAAACTATGCCATGATGCACAGGTTTACCATTTCAATTAAATAAAGATATAAGTTTTTTTTCCTTTTTGTCTTTTTTACTGACCGGTAACGGGATCGCAACCCTTGGTGTCGCGCCCATACCGGGGACCGGCAACGGGATCGCAACCCTCGGTGTTGCGCCCGCACCGCACTCAGCCAGTGAGCGGGAACTGGTCTCCACATGGGATCCGAACACTCGGCGGGAGCGCCGCGTGCTCCCAAGCGGCGCACTCTCCAGTGTGCCACCGGGCTGGCCCAAGATATAAGTTTTTATTTTTTTCCTTTTTGTCTTTTTTCGTGACCGGCAATGGATCGCAACCCTCAGTGTCGCGCCCGTACCGGACCGGGACCGGCAACGGGATCACAACCCTCGGTGTTGCGCCCGCACCTCGCTCAGCCAGTGAGCAGCCGGTCTGTATGTGGGATCCGAACCCTCGGAGGGAGTGCTGCCACGCTCCCAAGCGGCACACTGTAGCAGTGCGCCGCCGGGCTGGCCCTAAGTTTTTTTTAAAAAGGTGTGAATGGGTGAAAACCACAGGAAAGAAGGAGATGGGCGGGGGGGTTCAGGGACACATGGAGTGCCTCTAATTCCATCCTACTTGTGTCTATTTCTCACAGCTGGAGTTGACTAAGGATGATGAAAAAGAGGCTGAGGAAGGAGAGGATGACAGAGACAGCACCAATGGCGAGGATGATTCTTAAGCCCATGGTGGGGTTTAGATATCTCATCCTATTATTTCTTTACCTAGGCATTTGTCAAACATCAAGTTTTTCACCAGACCCTCTGCCCTGGTATCTTCAGCACATGCTCGCTCTTCTCCCCATCCCTGTCCTTCCCATGTTCATTAATTCATACTGCCCTGAGCCTAGTCCCATTTTAACTTCCTTTGACACTCCTAGTAGTTTTGTGAACTGTTACCCTGTAATTTTGCTTTTAATTTTGATACGTCTTTATGGCTCACAATAAAAAGGATGGTTTTTACCAATTGTCTCCAAAACAGTCTCTTGTTATGCAAGGAGTACAGTTCTTTCCATTCATACAAGAGTTCAGTAGTTGCTTCCCTGACTGCAAAGGTGATCTCATTTACTTGAGTAGCACCTGAGAGCAGCTTTGAGTTAGAAATGTGTTATACCCACATAAGAGTATTGTGTGGGGCTGTTCAACACAAATGTAACTTTTTTTTGGGGGGGGGGGCTGGCCAGTACGGGGATCTGAACCCGTGACCTTGCTGTTATAAGGCTGCACTCTAACTAACTGAGCTAACCAGCCAGCCCCTAACAATGTGTTTTTTGTGAATGAGAGTTGGCATGTCAGAAGCATCCTCAAGAAAAATAGTTAGTGTAATTGTCAAGATTTGTTTTCTAAAGTTGATACTGTGCGGGGCTGGCCCGGTGGCACACTGCTACAGTGTGCCGCTTGGGAGCGCGACGGCGCTCCCGCCGAGGGTTCGGATCCCACGTACAGACCGGTCGCTCACTGGCTGAGCGAGGTGCGGGCGCAACACCGAGGGTTGCAATCCCGTTGCCGGTCCCGGCCCAGTACGGGCGCGACACTGAGGGTTGCGATCCGTTGCCAGTCACGATAAAAGACAAAAAGGAAAAAAAAAAAAAAGTTGATACTGTGGGTTATTTTTGTGAATAGCCTGATGATTGAAACCTTTTTTTCTCAAACTAAACAAGTCCTTATTAAACCAAGAATTTGGAGAAAAAATAAATTTTAAAAAGTTTGAAGTATGGGCCGGCCCGTGGCTCACTCGGTAGAGTGCGGTGCTGATAACACCAAGGCCGCAGGTTCGGATCCTATATAGGGATGGCCAGTTAGGTCACTTGGGAGAGTGTGGTGCTGACAACACCAAGCCAAGGGTTGAGATCCCCTTACCGGTCTTCTTTTAAAAAAAAAAAAAAAAAAGAAAAAGTTTGAAGTATACATCTTCTGACCTCAGACCTAGTAACACCATTTCTCGGTATGTATCCTGGAGACATGTTGCACAAGATACAAAGAAAGGATATGCATTGCACCATTGTTTGGAATATCAAGAAAAAAATTCTTTCAATAGAGGAATAAACAAATTGTGGTATAAAGGCATAATTTCTGGACACATTCAGGTTAAATGAATAAGCTGTATCTATCTATGTATGTCAACATGGCTAGACCTCAGGAATATGAGGGTAGTTATAATAGAAAGTTGCTATACAATCCATACAATATCAAGATATTTATATAATATTTTGAGGTTATACAAAATAATACTATGTATTATTTACAGATACATATGAATATGTGTGTAAAAGTTTTATAAAACAAATTAGAAAGATATAAAGTTATAATAGATTTAGCCTCCTGGAAAAGAGAGGGAAACATAATTGGAACCTAAGAAACTTTATAATATTTTATTAAACATGACAAAAGCAAATAGGAAACAACATGGCAAAATCTTAATATATGTTTACTCTGGGTAGTAAGTATATGGATGTTCCTATACTATTTTCTCTATTCTTCCTTCATTAACTTTTTTGTTGTTGTTGTTGGCTGGTACAGGGACTGAATCCCAGACTGTGGTGATATCAGCACCACAGTCTAACCAACTCAGCTAACTGGTCAGCTTCTTCATAAAAAATTTTTTCCTCAAAAAAAAAGTAAGATGCTGTGGGACGAGAAATAAAATTTAGAATTTGTTCTAAGGAAAAGGAAAATAAGAAATACCAAAAAAAGTATGCAATAAGAAAACAGAAATGAATTCAAACATCACAAACAATTCAAAAGAACCAAACTCTGTAACTAAAAATCATATTGTCAAGAAAAAATATGAGTTATATAGCTACAAGCTATTTACAAGAGATATACCCAAAAACACAAGATACAGAAAAGTTGAAAATCAAAGGATTAAAAAAGATATGCCAGGGGCTGGCCCGGTGGCGCACTGGATAGTGCGCCGCTTGGGAAGCGCGGCGGCGCTCCCGCCCGAGGGTTCGGATCCCACATACAGACCGGTTCCCGCTCGCTGGCTGAGCGAGGCGCGGGAGCAACGCCGAGGGTTTTCTTTGGCCGGCCCGGTGGCGCACTGGATAGTGCGCCGCTTGGGAAGCGCGGCGGCGCTCCCGCCCGAGGGTTCGGATCCCACATACAGACCGGTTCCCGCTCGCTGGCTGAGCGAGGCGCGGGAGCAACGCCGAGGGTTGCGATCCCGTTGCCGGTCCCCAGTCCGGTGCGGGGGCAACACTGAGGGTTGCGATCCGTTGCCGGACACGGAAAAAGACAAAAGACAAAAAAAAAAAAAAAGATATGCCAGGTAAACACTAACCAAAAGAAAAGTAGTGTGGTTGTACTGTTACCAGATAAAACAGACCTTTATGTAAAAAATTATTACAGAGATAAAGACAGTCCATAATGATAAAAGGTTAAATTCATTAGAAAGACATAACAATTCTAAACTTGCGTGTACCTAATAATAGAGTCTCAAAATATATAAAATAAAAATGGACTGAGCTACAAAGGCAAAAAAGACAAATCTGTCACCTATGGATTATTGATAGATCAAGCAGGCAAAAGTCAGTTATCAAGTAGGAAATATGAATAAGCACTTAATAAGTTTGATCTCATAAGATCTTATAAAACATACTTATATAGAACAGTGTACCTAATAACTGGATAATTCACATTCACTTCAAGCATTTTGGGGGCATTTACAAAAACACTGCATGTCTAAGTCAGGCCATAAAGCAATACCAACAAACTTCGAGGTATCTGTATCATTATAGACCGCATTCTCCAATCATAATGCAAACAATGGAAATCATTAATAAAAAGATAACCTAAAAATACATTAGAAAAAAAATGTTTTACCTCACGTACTTATTTGTGGGGAAAACACTTAAAATCTACTCTCTTAATAATTTTCAAGTATACAGTACATTGTTATTAACTATAGTCTCCATGTTTGTAATAAATCTCTTGAACTACATTAGAAAATTTTAAAACAATTTTCCAAATAACCCAGGGATTAAAGAAGAAATGATAATATAAAATTTTGATGTTTGAAATTAAGAAAATACCTCATATCACTGTTTGTGTAATGTAGATGAAACAGTACTCTAAGGAAAAAGTACAGCCTTATAAACTTATACTGGAATAGAAGAAAGAATGAAAATAAATAAACTAAACATCTATTTTTAGATATTTAAGAAAAACAGAACAAACCCCAAAAGAAGGAAATAATAAAAGAGCAGAATTTGTTTTAAAAAAAAAAAAATTACAATATAAGAAACTGACAAAACCAAAAAGCTAATTCTTAGAAGTGACTGTGATTAATGAGTCTCTGGTAAGACTAATCAAGAAAAAAGAGAGAATAAACAATATTAGGAAGGTAAAAGGGGATATAACTATGGATGTATCAGGGATAAGAAATAAAATATAAAAAACTTATGCCAATGTGTTTAAAAACGTATGTGAAATGTAAACATTCTATAAAAATATAAATAAAGTGTTCAATGAAAAATGCCAGTGTTGCCTTTTCCCCCTCCTTGCCATGTGACACGCTGAGTCATCACAGGACTCTGCAGAGACTCCTCACCAAGAAGGCCCTCACCAGACATGCCTCTGGACCCTGGACCTCCCAGCCTCCACAACTGAGAATGGATACCACTGAAGTTCCTGATATGGAAACAAAAATGCACTGTCTTAACCAGTAGACACAGCTCCTGAAATAACCAACCTCATTCCATTGCCTACCCTGGAAGAGAACAGCTAAATCCAAGGGTCAAAACGATAGAAGAAAAACATAATTTGGGGCCAGCTTGTGGCTTACTCGGGAGAGTGTGGTGCTGATAACACCAAGTCAAGGGTTAAGATCCCCTCACCAGTCATATTTATTTATTTATTTATTTATTTATTTTTTGTCT